CCTCTCTCCCCCTCTCTCTCCCTCTCTCTCTCTCTTTCTTTCTCTCTCTGTTTTCCCTCTCTCTCTCGCTGCTCCCCCTCTCTCTCTAGCTGCCCCCTCTCTCTTCCTCTCTCACTCACTCTCTCTCCACCGCCTCTCATCTTATCAGTATTTTTGTTGGCATCCTTACTTTTTTGTCTTTCTTTCTCTTTCTCACACTCTCTTTCTATTCATCCTCCTGCCCCATCCCACCCTCCTTCCACCTCATCTCCCCTCCCCCCCCCCCAATTCCCCATCCATGACCCTAAACATACATGATCGCTAACATTCTTCCGTCCTCATTCTTTCTCTAAAAACATCTTATTACACCAGAAGCAAATAGTGGTGGCCATCTTCAGCAGATACGGAATATAGGCTAACAAACCATGGAAGCGATGGTCGTGCTGAGCGACCCTGTACGTGAACAAATTGTCTCGCTCGTTGTGAACACTCATGAAATTGAAATCCTCCTGAATGGACATATTGAGTCTTTTCTGAAGATCGTCGACAGTGTCATTTATATGAGGTTCCCGCATTCTTGTCACACCGGAACAATATTTGCACACTTTGTTATAAACTTCGATGCCCTCGCGATGCAATTCTAAAAGTCTGTTCCAGAAATCGAAATATTCCCCCATAATCTCAGCACATCGTTCTACGGGGAATCCCCTTTTAGGAAGTTTCCTTGCTACGTCATATGCCTTTCGGAAATTTCCGATCGACGACGTTTCTTGAGGCACTATTTGGGGAAGAGTTATTTGCATGAGCTTGACAGAATCCACAAAAGTCTGGCGACGTCGGTCAAACCAATCCATGTAGTGGAGTTTTACGGCGTTCAGTTTGCCCAGATGATTGAGAACTTCTGTTTTGAGCAGGTCGAGTTCTCTCGCCTTGATCTGAAAGTCACTGTATCCCCCGGTGACTTTCTTCATGGCTGCAGTCTGAGAAACTGAAAGGGAGAAAGAAAAACATAAGAAAGCGTGGTGAAATCAGGTGCTCGTTAAAATGATGGAATCGAAGACAACGTTGTTTTTGTTTTTCCAGCCCGTTTGGAAATTTTTAGCGACTCTTTTTTTTGGCTCAATATTTATGTCAATTAAAACACATTTCAGTGAATTTTACCGGGAAAAAGTTGATAAAGGGTGCACAAAAAAGTGCATTTACTTACAGTTTCTAGAGCACTCAAGCTTTGCAAGTTAATCAACTTTGGTGGCCATTTTCTCCGATATTTTACAACCGACACTAGAGGGCCATCACTTTCTTTAATCGCCAAATCTCAACTTCTATTTAGGACAGAAACGCTTTTATTTCATCAGAAGCTATACAAACAAAATAATCTTAAAGATATGTCAATAACTTCATACGCCAAAAATTGACCAGCACCTGATCCCACCGTGAGCTGACATACATGTACTTAATAATACAGTTTTAACGCTGCTTGCAACTGTGTGAGGCTACCTGAGAGGCAAGACCTCTAAATTCACAGTCCGTATCCGATGACATGGGACCAGACAGATGGAGAGCTTTGAAGACTCCCTGACATGAGGTGCCCATTCGGGGATCGGGTCAGGTCGGGTCGGTTTGCTGGTCAGATTTAGCGCGCAAAGCGGCTATCGCGGCACAAGCCGATCGCGCCCGACTCGTTAAAAAAAATCAAACGCATTTGTTTTCAGGTGACAAAGTCGGGCGATCGCCCCCTACCCGACCCGCATTGGGAACCCAGTATAAACAAACAAGGTTTAAGAGCACTACACAGAGGATTCCAACAAGGAGCCTCTCCGCATAGCCCAGTGTAATACACAAGTATAATACCAACTCAGCTAACAGCTCGACCCTTGACAGTTCTAAAACTCACACTATAGCCATGCACAATTTCACTTTTACCAGAAGATATTCACTAGATTAAACACAAGGCTCCTTGTCTTTGTATTTCAGAAAACTGCCTTTCACACAAATGCATGACGGTTCCAAAGAGTGGTTTTAATTATAATATGTTCTAGTCTCTCTTTCTGTTAAATATAAAAGATTGCAGTCTACCATGACTCTACTTTGCTGGTCGCCTCGAGTTAAAGAATTCTTTGGTTGCATATAGTAGTAATCTTTCTTTTCAATACAGAATCCGGGATTTGTTTTATAACACGTTTTCGTTCAATGCATAGCTTTCACTTTCCCTGTTGTAATGCGGGAGTAACACGCTTGGGTTCCCTTGTTTTTACAACTTTCCCTTTGTATAGGCTTTTCTCAAAGGCCACCATTTGCTGCCTTTGTGGATGACATAACAGCCTATTAAACGATCGCATTTTCCTGAAAATGCACGCCAGTTAAGCCAGTCAAATGGAATGGAAGAAAAAGATATGTGTTCCACCGTCGAGCAAAAATCTTTCGGGAAAATATGTGTTTTGTTCCTTCGTCTCCTTGCCATGGCTATTGTAAAAACATTGTGCACCCAAAGGAATGAATAGTACTGTGACTTTGTCAATAACGAGAACAGTTTATCGCCGGTTTAAAAAAAATCTCTGTCAGAACCCGCTTTCGACTTCTCTCATAAAACAAAGTGCTCTTTGGTCTGCGAAATGGTGTATAATTAATGATACGGCCTTCTCCCGAAGCTGGAGACTAAAGTTGTCAGACTAATTATAACGAATGAGCTGAACTCGGGGAAAATTGATTTCCTCGCAGCACTTTTGTACTCTTTAAAGTAAGATTATTCAGAGTGTACATTCAGCTCATACTTCAGCCTTTTACTATTTATTGGCTCTGGTCTTGATTGCCTACCAGGGACCAATGAGGAGGGATATTTATTTATTTATTTGTTAATTTTTTTTTGGGGGGGGGGGTTGTTTCTTTTTCAGTTTTTGTTGTTGTTGGTTTGTTTCTGAAATAAAAAAGGTGGTACTAATGGGAGTCAATAAAACCCGTTATCGATGTAAATTATCTTTGCACTACAGAAACATGATGGGTGTTTGGTGGGTGGCTTTGTGCGGTTTGCTCCTTCTTTCATGTCGAACATCTATCGTCCTTATCTCTCCTTTTTTAAAGTGTGTTTGTAATTCTCTCGTAACACCGCTAGTCTTCGAAATCCAAATGAACTAATTGTTTTGCAAGTGCGGTAAAACTTGCAAAAACAAAACAAAATAGTGATAAGATACGTAAACAAAACAAAACATATAATTATATAGGGTTATCTCGATCTCATGCGTGGCAGCACAATATATATA